GACAAATAAAAAGGACAAGGAAACATTTGAAATTAATGGGTCATAGGCAAATCTGGATATGCTACACAAATTCAATTCCTCAGGAAAGCCTTTTCTGACCAATTTACTCCTCCCCCTTTAGACCAGAGCCCCAGATGATGTAATCTAATTATAATTACATTTTATTTCAGGCTTTTATCACAACTCTTACTAAATGTCATTAGCAACATTACTTGTTTAATGTCTCTCTTTCTTGTTAGACTGAAATTTCCAAGGGTATAGGGTTTATGTCATTCCCAGTAATCTTTCAAACAAGAAACAGGATAAAAGCATTTTTAAAGGCTAACAAGAGCAACAGGCAAACACTTGAGTATAGTGATTATTGTATTTTTTTTTTTTAAGATTTTCTTTATTTTGAGAGAGAGAGAGAGCACAAGCAGGGGGAGCAGCAGGCAGAGGGAGAAGCAGGCTCCCAGCCGAGCACGGAGTCTGATGCAGGGCTCGATCCCAGAACCCTGGGATCATGGTCTGAGCCGAAGGCAGATGCCCAACTGACTGAGCCACCCAGGCGCCCAATGGCTGGCATATAATAAGAATACAGTATTCTTGAAGTACTCTCACAAAATACATTGAACACAGTATTCTTGAAGTACTCTCACAAAATACATTGAAAATTATAGACTTTTGCAGGGTCCGAAGAATTCTCTAAATGACTAAAGAATAGGCACACTAGCCTCCATGTCAGAGAGTTTCCATGGACACAACTCTCTTTACTACAAGCAGGGAGCTGACAGCTGTGCTTGCATTTGGACACCTATGATGAGGAATATGCTGAATGACCAAGGAAGTGTAAGTTAAATTAGAAAATCAATAAATCATTTAGGCAGGCATTTTGGAAGAGTCGGAGTAGATGCAGGAAAGTTGCAAAGTTGGGCTGGTTATAAACATCACCACTTCATCAGGATTTCCTATAAGGCACACTGAAGGAAATAACATAATATGGGAAGGTAGAGTAACAACAACAGCAACACAGCTAAATTAGTGAACACTTACTACATGCCAACATGGTGTTGGGCCCTTTAAAAGCTAAGTAACTTGCCCAGGATGCCACAGCTCATAATGGTTGGACTGAAATTGGAACTTGACTGCCTGCAATGAAGATGCCATACACCCAAGAAAGCAACTGCAACACTTTCCATGCTAGGAACATGTAGGAAATGGATAGTAGGTAGCTATTATCTTAAGATGCTGCAGTTTCTGCATATGAAAATGGGGATACTTGTGGTACCTATTAATAGGGTTTTAATGAGGATTATGAGATAAACTATAAAAAGCTCTTAGAAAGTGTCTGGCACATAGAATGAATATACGAAACGTTACCTGTGATGATGAGGAGGAGGAGAATGGTGATGATGATGATGATGATGATGATGATGATGACGACGACAATATAACTAACATAGGAAATGGGAAATATCCTGAAGATGGCCAATAAAAATTCACTAAGGGCTTTAAAGGGACAGGTACAAGCATTCCAGTGTAAGCAGAGTTGTGGGAAGAGCAGCAAGTCCACCTCTGATGCAGGAAGCTAAAGTCAGAGCAGAGGAAGAGAATCAGAGGCATAACCCAGCATCATGTCCATCCTTGGGCTTCTTCTCATTCCTTCCCATTACCCCAGATGAGCTCACATACTCACTGGCTTTCGCTACCATCTATGCTCCAATAAATTCCAAATGTTCATTTGTTAGTTTAGCCTCCTTCCTCTGAGCTCTAGGATTGCAAATTTGAACTATCAACTTGATATAATAACAACAACAACTCACAGAAACTGTATTCTTATTATATGCCAGCCACTGTTTAGCTCCACTGGATTCATGTTACAAGAGAACTCAGCCTGTCTAAATTGGACTGTGTGATCTACTCTCTAAAACCATCTTCATCTTCCCACGACCATGTAGTAGCTCATCCTTGACATCTTCTTTTCCGCTTACCTCTGCTTATCTAAATAAACCCAAGTCCTCTCATTTCCATTTCCCAAAACTCACCTCACCTCTTCAATATACTGCTCTTTCCTAGGCAACATCCCTCTCACTTGAACTACTGCAACATCTAGACTCCTCATAAACACTCTGGGCTCCTTTTATACTTTTCTCAGTCCAGCATCCAAGTGCAAATCGGATTGTTTCTTCCCAGCAGCAAATTTATCAATGGCTGCTTATTTCACTTACTGATTAACATGCAAACTCCTATACATGCCCTACAAGACACTGTGAGGAACGCTTCCCACTCTTACATCTCAGGCCTGATTCAATGGTGTGCTCCCCTCCAAATTCCAGGTAAAGGGGTCCTCTTTCAGTTCCCCCAAAGCAACCACCTCTTCTCTGACTCAGAGTCTTCTCACATGCTGTCCTCTTTGGAAGGACTTCCAAACTTCCTCTGGAAGTTTTCTCCTGTGTCTTCATCTGGCTTCAGCCTCTGAGTCCTTCGGCTCTAAGCATAAATGATCCTGCCTCACAAAAGCCTCGATTCCCCAGATCTGTCGGGTCTCCCTCTTTACACACTCTCACATCACCACCTACTTTACCTCCGCAGCACATTCCATAGGTATAATTAGCCATGTGGCTTTTTGTGTAATATTTCTCCAGAGATTGGAAGCATTTGTAAGTACCTGTCCTGTTCACCTCTATCTTCTAGATACCAATCCATTGCTTGAAGTAAGAACATCCCGCTGAATACTTGTTAAATGAGTGAAAAGAGAGCCTGTACTAAATTTTACAACTAGCAGCTGCCTTCACAAACTAGGGCAGTGATTAAGTCAACCATTTTCCGTGAATGGATACCTCCACAAGTCACACTGGCCTCAAATAATCAGGGTGATAATATAAACACTGTGAATGGCAGTGACCACCTTGACCACAGCCATAAGTCAGGCACATCCAGAAGGTACCTTTTATTGAATCTTACTCAAATACCTATTTTTGCCATTCTGATATTTTTTCAGAATTTGGCATGGCTAGAGTTGCTTTGTAATGCATGTGTATTTAAAAAGGAAAACATCTGTTTTCCACCAAGGAAGCATTAGCCATTATTTAATTATATACCATTAACAAAAGGCAGAGGGAGAAATTATATTTTGGAATCCTAAGCCATTCCGTATACATAGAAAAGAACTGAATATATACAAACATACATTTTGCAAAGTACTGTGATCTCTGCAAGGGGAAGCATCTACTTGTCACTGGAACCTATCTTTCCCACTATCTTCCACCCGCCATCATCCTCAAGTAAAAATCAATTTCTAAATGCAATAGAATCACGTTGAAGTTGGCAGTACAAGAAATGTTGAAAAAAAAGATTGCCATCTGGAAAATGAGTATTAATAACTAAAGAACTTCAGGTTCTAACATAAATGAAAGATATTTAAAAGATCTTGACAACATTCCCCTTTCACAAAATTAACTGTATTTTATAGTGTTGAAAAATGCATTGGGAGGCTTCAAATACATTACATGAATTTGCTAAAAGTAATTTAGTGGTATTAAAAATTGACAAAGAACATGCTCTTCTCTGGGAAGAAATGTGTGAAACTGTGTCATGTTAAATGGACCCTGCTGTGGTAGGCATGTCAGATGCTGATTTGCATGGAGTAAGACCAAGAATACACTCTGTCCCTAGAACTGTGGTTTTCCTTTGGGATGGATGGGCAAATAGCTGCACTTGGGGGCACTGGCTTTGTTTGATATATTAAATGGAAAAATGCCTTTCTATTGCAACTTTCCCTCCTTCTTTGTCTTTAGAAATTATCAAGGAAACAATCTTTTTTTTTTTTTTCACTTCTCTCAGTGTTATGCCAGCCAGTGAGGCAAGACAAGAAAACTACCCCACTACTGCTTGCTGTTTGTTCTGCCTGTATGACTTAAAGGAGAAAATGTCTCCCAAATCCCCTTAATTGAGCTACAATGTATACATCACTGTATGCCTAATAGCAGGGCATTACGACTACTGCCAATGAAGCCTTCAGGATCTACTATAACCTTTGTTGCTTTTATTCTTCTTCAGAGTCATGGGAACAAAAGTATTAACCTAATCTCTCCTTGTTTGCCTAGACCATACGATGTAAAGTCACAGATAAATTTTTGGCTATGTTTTAGGGGAGGTTATATGAACCAGAGAAGCAGAGGCAGCCGATCTGCAGAGAGGATAATGGAAAAAGAGCAGAGAGGAGCAATGAAGAAATACGATAGGGAGTCCTAGGAAGTCTGAGGTCTTGCTCTATTAATCTCTATCCTATGGATGCATCAACAAAGAAGTCAGACAAATTCTTCCTCTGTTACCTTAGGCATCTTTTTGAGCAACTGACACTCAACCCAATTGGGCTATCATGGGAGAGGAAAGAAATCACCTAAACTGGACTATATATACTTCCTTAGGGAAGGCACCACATGTAATGGTCTTGGGTACTGGTTTAAGCCTGACACAACAATAGGTGCTGAGTAAATATCTCTTGAATGAATAAATGATCATTTCATATGTAGGAGTACATAAGGGTAGAAGTGGTGGAAATGACTACAGTGGTACATGAATTGCCTCTATTATATCAAGAGACATATCAAGCACAAATGCTTGAAAACCTATAGAGAGACAATATAATCTGGTGGTTCAGGGCATGTGCATTGGAACCAGACTCAAACTGAATCCCATCTTTACCACTTGCAGGTATATGATCTTAGAAAGGTAAGTAACCTCTCAGTGCCTCAATTTCCTCATTTGTGAAAAGGAAATAATTAGAGCATCTACCTCAGATAATCTTTTTGAAGATTACGTTGAGCTAAAAATTAATATATTAGTGCTTAGAACAGTGCCTGGACAAAGTAACCATTCTATGACAGTTAACTGTTGTTTTAAAAAACTTTCGTATCTATTACTAAATATCTAGATAACAGTACTAATCAACAAGTCTTGCATTATTATTTAATTTTTTTCATGTCTATTTGTCCTATCTTTCAAAACAATTTCTACAGTGTTGAACAACAAGGAAGATAGAAAAGGATCTCTGAGATCATCATTTTCCAGGTAAGGGACCAAAGCCCAGAGCTAGCAAGGGAGTTGTCCAAAAGTACATCTCTCATGGCAGAACCAGGCCTAGAATTCATATCTAGCTTCATGTTATTCTCAAACATCATAACCAAAGAAAAGAATTAAAAATGAAGTGTATGTAAAATGGATAACCCATCATTGAGATGCTAAAATGTTTAGTATGGGACTTTAACACTTGATTTTTAAGCTCATGTTTGGTAATAGTAATCAAGAGTTATAGCCCTCAGTAACTTGTAGGAGTTTTTGTGAGATAATTTGTTATACACATTAATTGTAGAAAAGCCTGAATTTTTCTCTAGTTATACAACTTAAAGAAAATTGATGAAGAATGTTTAGAGTAACATGAAGGTCACTGTGATATCCCAGAACCTAAGGATAGTTTTTATTAAAAACAAACACAAAAAACCCATTTGGTTTTCCACAACAAATTATTGGGTACTCTAAGAAAAAAATTCAGTTACAAAACAATTTTGAGCATTGTTCAGACTAATTATCATTATAATGTAAGCTGTTACTTTTGTGGTCTGGCAGCATCCTCTAAACTGGACAGGTGTTTAGAGTTCATGCATGTCAGTGTGAATGCTTATCTTCAATAGCCACACCTCAGGAAAAGCAAACTTCCATGGTTTTTCCTATCATCTGAACTGTTAAGCAGTTATAAATCCAAGACATTCATTTAGTTGAGAGTAGTGTTTTTATCACCAATTCTATTTCTCTGTTTTTATAGTGCATACAAATCACAAAGTATTTAAATATAGTTTTCTTTGAATATATTTTATACCTCAGCAAATACATATTTAAGTTTAAAAATTGGCACTAATTACTAAACAACAATTGAGACTCAGTCAGGTTTCAAGGAAGTCATACAAGATTCCCTGAATTGAAAGAAAAAATTGTAATTTCTTTATGGTTTTAAAATTCTGAAACAGCAAGTTGACCACTGAATATTTAGATTTTAGCTTATAATAACTTCTTCAGCATTGAACTGAATATGTGTTAATATATATATATATAGTCCAGAAAAATGAAACTCAATGCCTGGTTATCTCTTCTACTCTATTTTTTTTTTTCAACAAACCTTTCAGTTATACCACAAATTACTCTAATACTTGCTGTAATCTTCAGAAATAATACTTTCCTCAAGAAAATGTACTGAAAGAGAAGGTATACCATAACTCAACTGAAATAAACTATAACAAATCTCTCTAGAAAGAGATAAAAGTTTTGTTTTATCTAAAACATTTTAGTAACCTAAGAATCTTTCATTCTAAAAACTATGAAGAAATTAACTCGTGACCAGTTTAATAGTAATATTTACTTATACAAAGAGAGAAGCCTTCTGTTTTACCATTAGGACCATAAAGAAAAACAATAAAAAATGAGAGATGATAGATACTGTGTTAACTGGAGAAAGAAAGAGCTTCTGTTAGGGCAAACCTCTTGATATGTTCAGTACTATTTTTCAAGAGTCTCTTTCAAATTTATTTTTGAAATCTCCTTCTCAAATACAGTATTAATAGGAAGCTATAGTTGAAGAAAAAGGGAAAAATGCCCTTCAGCTGACTATCAGATGTTTGAGAGTTTGTCCTCCGTATCATTCTGCTCTGTGGTGAATAGCATTGTTCAATAGTTGATCATATGATATTTTCTAAGGACAAAGAAAAAGTGGGTTGGAGATCAGTTTCACATGTATCTGAATATTTGATTTCTATTTTAATCTAATATGAAGATGTAGCTGTTTATATTACTTAGGAGTGATTTCCTTAAAACTCTTCCCAGATTACATATGTTGCTGTACTTCAATGTGTTTATAAAGAATATAAATTAAATTTCAACTTTAAATGAGTTTGAAGCTTAAATAGTTTCCAGATATTAGAAGAACTAGTTGGAGATAATCTAGGTAAACCTTTTAAACAATGTTCACTTGGTTCTTTTGAAGAAAAAAAGTAGACATATTAAATGGAAGATACATGTATTTTCTTTTAAAGCTTCTATATTCAATACATAGCCTGATTCTTTCTCTCCAGTTGCATGTAATTTTATTAACTGTGCAATTTTAAACAATGTTTATGAAATGAATTGCATCAAATAGAAAGATTTGTTGAGGATCATTACTGTATAGATAGACAGGTATAGTTTAAATCTCTAATGTCGCTTACATATTTCTAGTCCATCAAGCAATACACATGTGTTCTGTTTAACAAATCTGCTGCAGAATAATTACAACTTGTTGGTGGAGATCTTAAGCAGTTATAAGGGATCATCTCCTTAATACTTCAATGTTAGTGAAGAGAAGCTTTAAAATTACCCGAGAATGATATTTCTGTGTCTCACTTAATTAAAATGCTCTATTTCTTCTACAAGAATCAAATGAGGCACTTGTTCAATCCTGAAATTTTTAGATTAATTGAAAACAAAGTTGCTCTCTCTTACTAGAAGCCCTTCTTACATTTATGAGTGAGCATTAATGGATAGTGTAAATAAACAGATGCACTTACCTGGAATTAAAGTTGAAAGCGCCGACAATGCTTCACAAAGTTTCAACAGAAAAGAAACTGAAACAGCAGCATCCACTACCACCGGCTTAGGCTTTTTGGCTTCACAAGTGGTAGCATTTCCAGTTATGGCCCAGTACCCTTGTGTTATGTAACATCTTATTAATATTAGCCATCAAACTGCTACCAAGCTGGTGAGGCACTAGAGGGCAAGAGTGTCACATGCAAGACCCGTCGCCAAGGGACAGGCTTTGGTACCACTTCGGGAAGACAGATGCTAACTAAGCTGATAAATAACACGATGCCTGAACGCAACAGCGAACTTGTAATGTTCCTAAAAGAATATTTTAAATGTCAATTTTCTGACGAGCTGCAGAGTTAACAGGTTAATAAATATGCATAAGCAAATAACCACACCATGCAAAAGTTTCGGGATTATATTTGTAAACCTACAGTCATCCGGGAGGCTATTTTTTTTTTCATTGTCTAAATAAACTTATTTAAAACATAAGAGGAAAGGCTAATTAAATAATAACTAGTGACAGTTTCAGGACCCCTTCAAACCGCGAGAAACTTGTCCTGCTCGGGAGTGCCACCTCTGGAGTCGCATTCCGAGTCGCCGGGGTCGGGGTCCTGGGCGAGGAGCGGCCCCGTCCGTCGTCCACGGCGATTACCTCGGGCTGCAGCCGTCCGCGGGATCCTCCTTCCCGGGGCGCTCGGCCCCAGCGACTCCCCGGGGGCGGCCCCGCGGTCCGGGCGGCGTTTGGAGGGGACTCGGTGCCGGGAGCCGGGCGGGGGCGACGCGGACGGCCCTTCCCTCGCCCGCCCGGGCACCCCGCGGACACCGCCGGCGGGCGACTGGGGCTGGTCCGGAGCGCGGGCGGCGCAGGGCTGGCGGCTGCTGCGGGGCGAGCGCGGCGGGCGCGCCGGGGACTCGCGCGCTCGCTCCGACGCGCACCGCGTCCCCGGGACCCGCCCGGCCGCGCCGCCGCCGCCGCCGCCGCCCTCCCGCCGCCCTCCCGCCGCCTCCCCGCTCCCGGGCCGCGCGCGCGCCCGCCGGGGGAAGGGGTGGGGACGGGGGCGGGAGCCGGCGGCTGGAGGCGCGTCCGTCCGCCTGGCTCGCGCCAGCCGGGGCCTCGGCGTGGTGACCCGGGCGTCGCGTCCCGGCCGGCGCGTTCCGACGGCCGCTGCTGGGAGACGGTGGAGGCCGCCAAGGATGAGACTGGTCGCGCCGCCTGGGAAGTGGGTGCATCGTCCCCTCTGGTCTTGCTCCTGCTGGTGGTGACACGACCTGGACCTGGCAGCGTGTGGCGGGCGACTGGTAAACCAGAGTTGCCTCTGTTTGCCAGCTTTCTGCAAGGCCATGTGTTCCAGTTCCTGAAGACGAGCGGAAGACCAGCAGTTGAGGCGACATTTTGGATACAAGGTGTGAGGTTGCACTCCTTCAAAACTTTATTTGATCAGGAGCCTCAATCGAATGATTTTTTTAAATCTTATTTTGATCCACTAACATAGCATATGTGAGAGTTTAGTACGTGGGGGAGGTGGGGTCTTCTAACGATAACTTGTAGTGGCATCTGTGGTCTTTTGTCCCAGCTACTCACACCTGTTTATGGAAGCAGTACGCCTGTTTATTTTGGAGGCTCCAACCGCACTGCCTCACCCTTTAGCCCATTTGCTTCAGGTCAACAGCTACTCTCACTGGGTGACCCAAGACTCAGGTCTCACCACTGGAGGTGTTGTGTCCTTCTGGTGGCTGGGATTAGTTTACAGAGAAGTATGTGACCAACCCTGGCCAATCAGAGACAAAAAGGCACCGTTCTAGGACTTTTGGCCACCCCCTCCCACCCGCACTTAGGGAAGTGGACCCTCTTCTATGGGACTTTGCAGAATGATGTGTGAGCTTGGAAATTCTTGTGTCAGCATATGAAGTTTGAGAATGAAGCTAATACTCAGGGAGGCATGCCTGGGAGTTGGAGAAAAGTTAAACCCAGATGGGGATGTTTGAGTTCGGAATCCAGCTGTGGCTGAAACAAGAACTTACCTTGTTTTTCAGTTTTCAGATATGAATCAGTATTTTGCTTTGAAGCATCTTGAGTTGAAATTTTTGTCCATCGGAATTGAAAGAGCCAAATAAATGATACAGGAATTAAACATTTTGGCCATTTATTAACTTTATGAGGGCATTTGGATATTGTAGAGCAAGACCTTTGATTAGATCCCAATGCCCTGAAAGAGTTAGTTTGGAATTTAAAAAAGCTGGGAAAGTTGTATATCCTTCTTGATCTACATGATAGAGAGGTTACAGAAGTGTCTGAATCTATTACTCCTTCTGGAAGCCTACAAAAATGTCAAGATGGTAAAATTCTTTGACCAAGTGACATGTATTAGATTGGTTTATTATTTTTTTAATTGGTGCCCCTCCCTTTTCCTTTCAGGAATTTTAGGAACCTCGATTTATTTTTTTACACTCCTTTCAAG